GCCGATCTCAAAGCGTGTGTAAGAATCGGCTCACTTTGGACATAATTCTTACATTGTCGCCGCGTGAGGTTCGAACCTTGGTCTCTTCTCCCAAATACTGCTAATTAAACCATTAAGTTAAGCTCGTGATGATGAATGATGTTATTGATGTTTCATGAATGAAAAAGTGGCAAGTCTCGTATGAGTATTTTAAAGGTTTTTTCAGATTTCTATAAAATTAGACACTTGTATACTCATAATTGTGTTATTAAAGTTTTAAATTATAATGATTGTTATAAGTTAAGTTCTATATTAACAATTGGTTAAGAGTAAATTTTAATGCAATTGCAAATTCAAATCTTGTAAAATGTGAGGCATAATAAAGAGTTTTAAATTAGAATCATACTTCTTTTAATTTGTTCGGACTGAAAATAATATTTATAAAAATCATTTAAAAACTATTTTAGTTTATTCTTAGATTAGTCGTTCATGCTTTAGCAAGAGCTGTTTGTTTTCAAATTAGTCCCTTTATTTGGTCATCTTCGATTCTTTTTTGTATTGAACATCTGTTTTAATGAAATTTTGTGGTTGGTTTTAAAAAAATAAAAATGAAGTAGATTCGTGTAACACACGCAATTCCATGCGCGAGTGGGTAAATCATCATAATTTCTTCCTCACTGTTCCTTCACTCCCTTCCTCACCCATCGGTACCCCATACAAAGAACAGCAAATCCCTCTCCACCTTTCCCTCTCTATCTCTCTCTATATCTATACATTTCATACACACACACATATAAGATATAGCCTCTATCTCTCTCTAGGGTTTAGAATTTGATTCCTCGGCACCAGAAATAACTACCCTTTTCTCTCTACTTTCTCCTATTTTCATCATCATCATCATCATCTCTGCCTAGTGCGTAGCCACCCACACCGCACTCCCTCTCTTTCTATATATAAATACGCATCTTTTCCTCTCTAGAAATGAAGAAAAGCGCATTGCCGCCAGCTCTAGTCTCAAATCTTCAGGATGTTCTTCAACGCCGAAAAGGCGGCGACGCCGGCGGAGGAGGAAATGAGGATCAACAACCTAAGTCCGATAAAGAAGATTCGACGGAGCCGTCGCCTTCGAATTCCGGTGATGTCATCCCGGAGCCCGACAGCTCGAAGCCTATCGTTTTGGTGACTAATGCTGACGGGATTGATTCCCCTGGCCTCGCCTGTCTTCTGGATGCTCTCGTTCGCCAAGGCCTCTACAATGTCTACTTCTGCGCTCCTCAATTGTGGGTCTTTTGCAAAGTTTCTCTCTTTGATATCAGTTTGTTTTAGATATTGGTATAAATATTTCTAAAAGATAGTTATCAAGAATAGATTTTTACTGTTTGTTTGGTTTAGATTTGCAAGTCACTTGTGGGTTCATAGTGATATCTGTTGTTGAGATTTTAAAATTTTGAGCTTTCACATTGACTCTCACATTATGTGACTCTTGCCATTATTTATGTATTTATTTCTGTTGTTGGAGTTTAAAGGTTGACAACTTGACATTATTATGAGTTTTAAATGGATCTGATCTTTTCCAGTCTCATGGGTGATCTGTTTGTTTTGATCATTTGACAGAGATAAATCAGTATCAGGACACTCAATTACCCTAAGGGAAACAGTTGCAGTGGGTTCAGTTGAAATTCAAGGTGCCACTGGCTATGAAGTTTCTGGTATGGTGGCAAGTGACACTTCATGGTTTTTTAGATTTTATAGCATATCTATGTTGTACTAACTAATACTGTAATTGAACTTTTAACTTAACATTCTTTCTCTTATATTTATAGGATTTTCGGGATTGTGAATGTTTTGACAAAAAAGATCTAAAGTACTATCTTTTCAATGAATCTGTTTTCAGGGACTCCTGTAGATTGCATCTCATTGGTCTTATCTGGGGCGCTGTATTCTTGGTCAAAGCCTTTGGTGGTATGGACACATGCTTTCATTAATTTGATATCATTTTTAGGTTTATTATTGCTTAGTGCTGAGTTTTCTCTCTTCATTCTACCCCCTGTCATGTTTAGGTAATCAGTGGAATCGACAGGGGCTCAAGTTGTGGTCTTCATGGGTAAGTATTCCTTTGAGTTCTGTTTGAATATGATCTGTTCTTTGTTTTTTGAAGAATCTTGCTCATCTGCTGTTATACTAACTGTTATTGACAATTATTTTTTTGCATTCTAGATCTTTTGTATTCTTAAATGGTCATTTGTTTCTCTACATTCTATGTATTACTTTTTCTTTTCTCCAGGTTCTACTCCGGTGTTGTAGCAGGTGCCAGGGAGGCATTGCTCTGTGGCATCCCGTCTATATCAATATCTCTTAACTGGTATGTTCTTGATCTTTTCCTCTGTGTTATCCTCGGGTAATTTGTTAACAAATCGATTATCTAGTAGTCTTTGGTTTTATAATTTTAGGAAGAAAGATGAAAGCCAGGAAAGTGATTTCAAGGATGCTGCAAGTGTTTGTTTACCTTTAATTACTGCAGCCATTAGAGATATAGAGAAGGGCGCTTTCCCTAAAGGTTGCTTAATGAATGTGGAAGTTCCCACATCTCCTCTGGCAAATAAGGTTTGCTTTTACCGTTATTGACATATTGCGTTTTCAATTACTATTGTTTGAATGTGGCATTTACATCCATTTTAACTGCTATGGTGCTTTATAGTGATGCATATATTTGTCTCTCGGTATTAAATACTTATTTGAATTCTAACTTGTATGGCTCTTTGTGTGACAGGGATTCAAATTAGCGAAACAAAGTCTTTGGAAGTCCACATTAAACTGGAATGCGATTCCAGCCAACAGGAATCCTGGTGGACGCTTTCACTCTAGTCATCATGGCCTTGGCATACAGCTTGCTCAGCTAGGTCGAGATGCCTCTGCTGCAGTAAGTATACTTCTGTAACTATTATCGATCCTTTCTGGGATTTCGACTTTTTGCAAGGGTGCTTTCTAGCCAGATTAACTAGGCATTACCCTATCCCTGTTGAGCATATAACCATTAATGTGCAATCCAATTATCAGCTTTTAGTTGAGATGGAGCACATGCTTCAATTTGGTATTAGAGCCAGACCGAAGATCATGGGTTCGAATCTCTACGTCACCCGATAAGCGACTACAGTCCACGTGTTGCTTGCATCCTTTATGTGCCATTTTCAAACTTTATGGGGCAGGTATCCTTCTCTTAGCCATTTTGTTTACCCTCTCATCTTTTTAGGGTGCTGCTCGCCGTTTGGCCACACAGAAGAAGGATATTGAAGAAGTTGAGTCGGTTGGTATTTCTGGAAAATCTGACCCCAACCGGAAAGTCAAGTACTTTAGATTGGAGGTAAGCTGCTTGTATTCCGTGTGTTATGAATATTCTGTTGGATTCTTTGGCCATGGGATAAACCGGACACCATTTAGGTAAGGCTAATGGTTTTTGACACTGCAGTTACTAGACAAGCAGATAGCAGACAAGGATGAAGATTTAGATTTCAGGGCGCTCGAAAATGGCTTTGTAAGGCTAAATATCCATTCGTTTTCTGGAAAAAAATCTTAAGCAACATATAGGCTCGAGATATTATACTACGATTGGCCATATCGCCATTTTCTCTTCACATATGCTTAACCGGTGAAAACATGAACAGGTTGCAGTCACTCCACTGTCTCTTTCGATGCATGCAGAGCCTGAAGTTCAGACAGCTGTTTCAGATTGGATTTCTGCTGCCCTATAAGCCTGAGAAGTGAGAATCCATACATCCTGCAACAGTACTGATTCTTTTGTACATTTTTGGAGATGATTTTTTGGGTGATCTGTGCATGGTTGCATGCTGGGTCATAGCTGTTTATGTATTGTTTGCTTATTTTTATCTTTTTTATTTTGCTCCCTTTCTTGAACAGTTGAACTTATAAAGTTCCCCATTCTTTGTATTTGTTTATGAAGCAAATGCTTCTCCTGCTAATGTTAGAAGAGGGTGGCATGTTTGTTAAGTGCCAATTTCCCTCATTTTTCTCATTGATGATGTGTTTCTAAGTGTTATTATTATTATTATTATTTGGATGATGAGGGAAACTTGTCTGAGGGTATGCATTGAATAAATTTCGCTCATGTAATAGTTTGCAAATCACATTAAGAGAGACTCGTTTTATGTATATGCACATGTGATTGTAGAGAGAAGAAAAACAAGAAAATATCAAATTGTCCATGACATCTTCATTCAAAGACAAAGATATCTATGGCTTCTTCATCCATATTTGAAGTGAGAAAGCCTTCTCTATCTAGATATGGATCAAGGATGATCAACTGAGCAAGTTGTTAATATAATTGTAAAATTAGAGGTTGTGCACCATGTTAAAGAAGTAAAGAATTATGGTGTCAAGCTATCTCTAGTAAGAGCTAAGTGCAACTTGGCATGCACGTGCTTAGCTCAACGGTTCAGCTCGCCAACAGTAGTGTGGAATTATGTTTAAAGTGAACAGATTTTTTGTGCGCACAACATTTGACCATGTCAATTACATCCTCTTACATACTCTGTCGGGCTGAATTGGAATTAATTTTACGATGATTAAAATATCTTAAAAACCAGCACATTTGCTCGTTGCATTGGTTGCAATCATCTTAAAAACCAGCACATTTGCTCGTTGCATTGGTTGCAATCATCTTAAAAATCAGCACATTTGCTCCTTGCATTGGTTGCAACCACGAAGCTTTGAAAGAAGAATTTTCTTATATATGAAAAAAGGTCAACTCTCAAAAGTCAAAAAAAATAATTGAGTGGATGAAATATGATTTTCGTGAGTTATTACATAATAATAAAATCTACTCAATGTATACATTTAAGTTAAATTTTCCACGTTATTTAAAAAAAAAAAAAAAAAAAAAAAAAAAAAAAAAAAAAAACCTTCTTAATATGGGCTTAAACAAGTTCAAAAGAAAAGCCCATTGCGAGAGTTCTTTACAAAATGGTTTTAATAAATAAAGATAAAAATAAAAAATAAAAAACGCTTAAAAATGAGGATGAGTTGCAGATGAATTAGGGTTTACTGAAATTCCTGCTGAGGGAAACAATGGCGTCCTCGTCGTCGAGAACTCTCATTCGAACTAGCTTCTCTTTGATGACTCGGTTGATGAGCCAAAATTCGACACGAAATACACAGCAATTGGTTTCTCAGACTCCGGAGATCACTCCGAAGCTCTTCCCTTCCATATCCTCTGAGTCTCAGGCTCCACTTAATTTGCCCGAAAGCAATGCGGATTTGTGCCGAAAGCTCTCATCGGAGGGTTTTCTGTACCCCTGTGGCCTCCCTTCTCTCCGCTTCTTCCTTCCCGAGGGTAATTTTTATTTACTTGTGAGCTGAAGTGCATTTGTCTGTTTTACGATCCATTTTTTTTTTTTTCACTGCATTTCATACTTTAGTAATTGTATGTAACTTCTGGTATTGAATGAGCTATAAATTTTCAACCTTTTCCCGTATGTTTGTCTCAATCTTAGTGGGATACTTGGCTGTGCAACTTGGAGTAAATATAACCTGATGTGGAATGTGGTTTTCATTGTTAATGTGATGTGGAATTGCATTAACAAAGCCAGGAGCTTTGAACATTTCTATTTGTTCTGACTTGGTTATCGTTGTGTTTAATGTCTGCTTGGTGATCAGTTGAAATGTAGCTGTGGGTTTGGTTTTGCTCAGAACATTGCTGGTGTGCTTATCTTTTCTCAGAGATAATTGACACGGGTACAGGAATTGCAAAGCATTCCTACATTAATTGAATTTGTAACTTCTTCTTCAATCTTGATGGTTTCTTCATATCCATAATTCGATATAAATTGAGTTTGCTGGCTATGTTAACTTTGTAATTAAGGGTGATGCTTTGCAGAAGAGGCTGACATTTTGACTTTCGTGAATGTTATGTTTTGTCAATCGAATGGGATTGGCAGGGGATTGCTCAGTTTCATTGGAGTGGGAGAATATGTGAATTATGTTTTTTCTTCTTTTGAAATTTGCTTACTGCTTAAGGGATCAAGTAAAGAAACTATGAGTCTATGACCACTCACTACCTGCATCATTTTCTGATTACTCTTTATGCTGAAAACTTTGTGGCATAACCTTGGCCTTGTTTTGGCATTGCTTAAAGTTTTATTTTTTTTTTCTCACACAGTGACACCAGGAGAAACTTCTTCAAGTGAACCACTTCTTTGTCACACTAAGAGAACGTACCAACCAAGTAACATCAGGCGTAAAAGGAATCATGGATTTCGTGCCCGGTACATCTCTCTTCCTGTCTTATCCATGCTTTTACACACATGAACCCATGAACTTGCATGTGCAGAGGCTTTAGTTTTCACACCAAAAGCACCAAGCAGAACCCTGTTATGAATTCCTTATGTTCACGAAGCTTAGAACTTGAAGCTAGTAGTGGAGTCTGTTCAAAGATATTAATTCATTATCTATCTTACATTTTAGTCATGTTTTTCTTCATTTAATTTTTTAACCGACAATTCAATTTAGAAGCAAATGTAGGTAGTTGTGAAGATTAAAGGTTTAGTGCATCTTCTTTCCTCTGCTCTACTGCTTTTGATAATGTAGATTCTATTTTTGGTGCTTGTGTTTTTCTAACAAATGTACTGTAGCTCATCTCTTTATTCAATTGAACAGCAAAGCTACAGTGGGTGGCCGAAGAGTTATTGCTCGGAGAATTGCCAAGGGACGTGCACGAATAGCAGTATAGCTACATAAACAATACACCATATTGCAACTGTGGATCCAATTAAGGTCACTAGAAGGTTGATATAGTGCAATATCGAGCCCAGGCGACACCCAAGACACTGCCCTGTTTCTGCTTGCATCTAATCATTAGTCTTTGCCTTGTTCATCTCATAATCTTATGGATTTCATGTTGCTGCTCAAAATTCTTGAACTGTAGTAATTTTTATGTGATAGGTGGTATTTCTTTTGCCATGGCAGTGACTTTTCACCCTTTTTCATCTTGATGTATGCATGATGCAAAATCAGAAACTGTTATAAGTTGGTAGAATAAACAGAAATATTTTCCACAACATTGGCCCTGATTGGTAAAATAGTTAGTCTATCAACTAATTTTAGTTTGTTTGACTACTATTAACTGTTTGACTTTGTTAAACAACCAATATGAGTGTTTGATTAATTAGCTTTTTGTAACTGTTTATTGTTCCAAAACACTAAAATTCAAAAAGTTGCCCAAAGCATTTTTTTTGATGAGTTTTTTGAGAAAATCATTTTGTAGTTAACAATTAATTACCAAACATTCCCATTATATACTAGCATTTTTGTTGGGAAATCACACTTTTGTGTACCTTACTTTGATTTATGGGATAGTTTGCTCCACTCGAAGGTGCATTTTACTACCCTAGTTAACAAAGGACTACTAAATTTGAATATACTCATCGGTGAACTAATCAGTTTAGCTTGTTCATAGTTAATAATCAATTTAGATTGTTCTTAGTTGATTGAATTATTTATTTAACTTGTTCATAGTTAATAACCAATTTAGATTGTTCTTAGTTGATTGAATTGTTTATACCAAGTCAATTGTCGGACCAGCTCCTCAATTGGAGTTAGCATGTGAAGCCATTATTACTTGAAAAGCACAAAGGTTTTCAACTTTCATATGAGAACAAAAGTACATACAAAGACTTCTCAAGATTGCATCATGTTACATAAAGTCAGAATGAAGCAACACGACAACATCCCAAGTAAAACAAAATATAATAAAAAGATTGTAATTTGGAAGAGGGGGGGGGGGGGGGGAGTGAGGCATGTGACAACTGACAAGAATAATTTATTGACACCAGATGAACAAATTTCAAGTACACAGTGAACATATATAAAACCACCATCTGCATTTAATTTGCTTCATCAATATTGATTATGGAACATACATCCTTATGCATCCATTATTCATTATTAAAATTACTACACAACCCAAAGTGGAAACATCTAGGTTCCCAGATTATATTTCCCAATTAATAATATATAACAAAAAGTTCAAAAAGATTCCATCTTTAATCATCCCATCACACCATGCATACCATGATTAGGTGGAGAACGTACTAAGATTGATATGTAATAATAAGCTGATTGCCTGACTGCCCGGAATACGACACCGGCGACAATGATAACGGCGGCGATAATGATGACGGTGGTGGTGGTAGGGGAAAGGATGGCAAGATTATTGTATCAGTTTGCTCCATTTCATACCCTGCCGCCACCTGCAAGTCACGTGCATTGCACCCAGAAGGGTAACATGGGAGACTGCTAGCCGGGAAAACCAGATCGCCGCCGTGTGCGGCGGCAGCGACCACCGCAGAGGAAGAAGAAGAGGAGGAGGATGACGCAATGGGCATATTTTCGCCGGCATCCCCGCCGGCCTTTATCATCTCGCAAAGCTTCGGCATAGCAGGGAACAACATCATATCGAAATCCGGCGGGGCGATATGATCATTATTAGCAGCAGCACTGAAAATGGAGTAATTATGCTCGAGATTCTGAGGCTGCTGTCCAAGAAACCACGCCGCCGCCGCCGGATCAGACGGCGGCGGCGCAGAGGGCATCACAGGAAGCACCAAATTCCCATTCTGATCCATCATCTGAGCAGCCTGCAAGAACGAGGACGGAGATGACGATGATGTTCCTGCAGAAATGATCCCAGCCTGATCCAGGATGACATTATTATTGTAACTAGGGTTTAGAGAAAAGAGGGTTTGATGATCAAAAGGAGCGGTGTTTGGGTCTGCAGGGATATTGCTGGAAATAATGGCGGATAGATGATCAGAGAAGCAAGCGCGAGAGATTATCTTCTTCTTGATGCTTGAATTCCAGAAGTTCTTAACTTCATTGTCTGTTCTTCCTGGAAGATACTTCGCTATCTGAGCCCACCTGCACAGTACTTAAAACATATTATTTCCCAAATCATTTGTCTCTTTCTGCATGAAATTAACAACCTAAATTAGCTTAACTGGTTGTAATCCATTACCCACTAAGATCACAAGGTGAGGTTTATGATTTATCCAGTACAAACTTCTGGTGTGACTGGTTTGAACTGGACAACCTAGGTTAGAATCATAAAGTAGATATGATTTACCTAGTACACACGTGTTCCCTACTAATTCTTTGATTAAAAAAGTAATTAATTACCTGTTGCCTAGAATTAAGTGGAGTTCGATGATAAGAGCAGCTTCCTGGGGAGAAAAGCTCCCACGTTTGAGGTCAGGTCTTAGGTAATTTATCCACCTCAGTCTGCAGCTTTTCCCACATCTCTGCAACCCTACACCAACAAATTAAAACCGACAAAACCAAGAAATTAATTCTGGGATTCTCAGAATATGTTTTCTTTCTTGTCTGGAACTGGAAAACATACACGAAAGAACTCACTTACCAGCAAGCCTGGGAACTGAGCTCCAACAGCCATGGCCGTAGGTAGAAATGTAGTTGATGAGTTTCTCGTCTTCCTCAGGCGACCACAACCCTCTCTTCACCTTCTGCTTGTTGCAGCATGAATGGTGTCCCATCTCTCTCTCTCTCTCTCTCTCTCTCTCTCTCTCTGTGTGAGAGTTTTCAGGTTTGCAGAGTGCAGTCAGTGGAAGCAGAAACTGATATAGATATGGGAAAACAACGCAAGAAAAACTGAAATTTTGTATATATATATATATATATATATATATATATAGGTAGAAATTCCCAGAAAAATATGAACTTTAATTTGAATCTCTCTCTCAAGAAGGAGATATATGAACCAACTAACTATTGCAGCGTATATTTCTATGGGAGGTCTTTTAATTTTATTTATTTATTTTTCATTTTTGAATTTACATCAGTAATTATAAAGTTTTTTAACAGTTTAATTTTATATGGTTCATCTCACCATTTCTATCTATCAATAATTATTTATGTCAGATAACCTAGCCAAATTAATTAGACTATTGACTTAATAACTATAAAGTTAAAAGTTTGACTCCCAATAGAACGGTCTATTGATTTTCTTGGTTAGAGTTAGCTAGATATAGGCAATCTAAGCCGATTGGCTGCAAGTTCCCTTCATCACTCAAAAAAATAACAATTATTATTTATGTCAACTTCCCTACAATTATTATTATTATGTAGGAGTGAAATTTACCTAATTTACACCCTTTGATAGTGATTGCAGGTTTTTCTCGTCATCTAGAAAATATTATTTATGTGTTACCAGGATGGCAGGATGATACTATAATGTAATGATAAAATAACAAGAGTGGTAATTATAATGCTAAATGAGCTTAATTAGGATAAAAAGTTTATCTATTTTTTTTAACAATATACTTATATACTATCAAATCATGAAAATATTGTGAATTTGTTTCTTATAACAATTATTAGAGGAATAATAATAAAATTTTGTTTTCGATAGGAGGAAAACAAAAAAAAACAAAAAAAAAAAAAAAAACACCAAGCAACATAAATTAAACAATTCTAGGTATAGTAACCCTCACAATGTTGGGAAAAAGGGTGTGAGTCTAAAAAAATATGAATAATTGTGAAGTTTACTAAAACGTTTTTGAGTTTGTATAGCAGACATTGTAATGGGGTGGGGCAAAGCGAAAATTATATTTTTGATTCTCGTGACTCTGCCTTACTCTCTATCCCCGTTAAGGAATTGAAAATTTTTCTCATCCCTTTTTCACAAAATTTTTTTGGGACATCAGACATAAAATCTCCACGGCTATCAACCATATAGTCAAATTAGTAATTTATTAATTATAATTTTAATATGTAAGTAAAAAGATTCAAATATTACTCTAGTGCTTAAATTTTCAAGTCTCAATAACTCTCTCTCTCTCTCTCTCTCTCTCTCTCTCTCTCTCTCTCTATATATATATATATATATATATATATATATATATATATATATATATATATATATATATATATCGTCCTCATTCTCTAAATTTTGCACTAGCCTCAATGGGATCGGAGGAGATCTCTTTAATAATAAAAAAAAATAAAAATTGTCATCTCTTATAATTAATTGATTAAAAATATGAATTACTTTAGTTGTTTTAATGGAATTTTAGTATAAAAATTTCAACTAATATAAAATGTTAGTGTAGAAATTTGAACTAATATAAAATGTTATACTAGATTAAGTATCTATTTAATTAAACAAGCGTAGTAAGTGATGTGCTCACAACGTGTTTATGATATGAAATTTTTATAATTAAGGATAAATCTATCATATATAATCGAGGTCAAGAGTACGTACATATGATCTCTGTGGGTCCCACTAGCCACAATTAGATTCTATGGCGGGGGAGGAATCATCTTGCATTTGTTCATGTCATGGGTGTGAGTGAAAATACTTTTTTTATTTATTTACTTTTGTTTTTTGACAACCAAAAGTGAATATTATTATTACTGCAAATATAATTGGGAAAGAATGAACGAATACAAATGGGTGGGACGTGGTTTCATGTTTGGAAGCCATAGTCTGAGCCAACTGCTTTAGCTACTGCGTAAGCATTTCAGATAAAGTTAGTTGCTCAATTCTTCTTTTCTTTTTACTATTCTTAAATCCAGATAAATATTTTCTAAAAGACATAATTATAAAATCTTAAGGAAAAAATAAGAATTTATTTAGAAACTCTATAAATAAATAATTAATCAAGAAATAAATTCTTGAATATATTATTATGAAATCAGAATTATTAAATTATGTAAATAAAACAATAAATAAGAATTGTGCAATATTTATTAATATTAATTACCTGTTAAGAGAATTGAACAACTTGAGATTGGCGTTTGTCGGTCGTTACTGACTGATATTTGCGTCTATCTAATTGTCGACTTGTTGGTTGTCTATTGCTGCTGTTTGTGAGATTTGCGTCGGTAATAAATTCAAGCTACGGTACTAATAGAGTAATAGGATTCTTTTGTAGGATGTAAAAGCCTAGTAGCCTAAATGTTGGCCTATATCACATAAGATGTTACCTTTTACTAGAATTAGAATATCTTTATTTTGATAAATCTCTTTTGAGAAGAAAGAGTAATAGAGTTGCGTCGAAGAAAAAGTGCTGTGCTTAGTGCTGCTTAATCTTATATACTGTATACAATATAATTTTTTTTTTTAAATATGGGGCCCTGACCATATTATTATATAAATTATTTATAAATTTATATTGTATACTGACTTAATAATACAAACTTTTTACAATCTCTACAATTAGGATGCATGGTTAATTCATTTCTTCATTATTATATTCTATTATCAACTTTCTGAAAGTTTGTTGAATAATAATAATAATAATAATAATAATACAAAAAAAAAAAAGTGATATTAATTGGAATTGATTGAAAGCAAGCCAATACTAATACATTAAATACGAATAGATTGAATCACAAGCAAGCATGTTTAATTGGAAATTGTAAAAAGTTCTTGACAAGATAAAAAAGATGTACAATCGTTAATTAAGACATGTTTCATTAGGGTTTTGTCTTCATTATCGTCACTATAAACCATCATTAAGGAGGGAAGCATGTGAAATGAGGATTGAATTCCGAGATTATATATATCTTATCCCAAAAGGCTGAATTCCCAACCCTAGAGGCCCGCCACACTCTGACCCGACAGAGCATGTGAGAACCGAGATTATATATATCGATCCGATATATGGTCATTATATTAATAAATAATAATGGCGATGAGAATAACTTTTGTTTTACTAGATGGTAATTAAGAAACTTGTTATTGAGTGTAAAATTGTGAAAAGTTTACATAATTTAAATCAATGATCGAGGTTAATAAATGTTTGGATTATTGAACTAACTTGGATTGAACAAACAAGTGACTGAGATAAAATTACACGTAACAATCTACTAGAAAATATATATAAGACTGCTCTTATTGAGTGTCTTTAGGAATGAGCCTTAGTGGTTACGCAAGAAACTAATTTTTTGAAAGTTACTGACTCTATTACATTGTAGTATCTGTTCATATACTTTCTCAACCTACTGAAACACAAAGAACCAATAACGCCTCCACTGAGGCTCGAACTTATAATCTTCCAAATGGAAATCCAACCTGGATACCATTGGACCACATAGTCCTGGTACAAACTATTTATATAGTTATATACAAACAAGGAATTGATCATATAATGGTAAACTTAATTTATATTTTATGCTTAAATTTCTATTTTTTTTTTCAAATTAGAGAAATTTATAAGTAATTATACATATTTTTTAATAAAAGGATAATATTTCTCCTTAATAAATATAATTAGTATTTATAAAGTTGTATAAATATAAGTTTGAACTCAAAACTGAATTATATTGCTCATTATCACGGCTCCTTCCCCACGGAAAATGAGAGGTAAATCGCAGTATAACCCTCAACTGGCCGACATGCCTCCATATGTTTGTAAACTAGTGTCTACAACACGATCAAATTCATATTATTTCTCATTTTTTTTTATCCTTGATAAGATTCAAACTCTGCAACTGTTAGAAAAGCAAAGCTTATGAAGCTATTTTAAATTAGTTAATTAATTGAACGGGTTGGGGACAAAATCTTACAACTTTTGAAGTTGTATAAATATGATTAAGGAGTTGATCCATCCATCTCTTTATTCTCTAGAGACAAAGCATAATTTGATGATTAGATTCCAAAAATGCCTAATCATAAGCAAAACAAAACACCATAATTACTATCAATATGCCATATGTTGTTGGTTTTATTGTGTGGTAAATGTGCTTTCACATATATAGCCCTGCATCTAACTAACATCCCTGCACTCTTGCACTCACCCACCAGCATAGTCTCTACCCTCTTAAAGTTAATTATCAGATGTAATTCTATGGTGTAATAAGTAAAAGTTATAGTATATGTTTTGTTATTATTGTTAGTACTATAAAGATGAAAGAATTACTCATGGGACATGAATGATGAGATGACGTGATTTTCTTTCAATTGAACTAGAACGGTTAAATATCAAAATATTTAAATTTAATTATATATGGCTCAAATTCGAATTCAACTCGAATTAAATTCAAACGGTTATCAATCGAGTTCAAATACACAAGTTGTTTGGTTCTTTTACACCTCTACGCTAACTGTCCATTCCAATGAATACAAATCAAAACAATTGTATTCAAGTCCGATTTGGTAGAGATTGGATTGTTTTCACATTTATTGTTACTGTGATGTGAATTGACTTATCAATTACAAAGCACAAGTTATTGAAATTTCATGGAAAAATAATTACTAGAAAAATGAATTTCATTGTTTGGTTTGTGGAAAAAGAATTACTGGAAACACTAATTATATTATTTGGTTAGATTTGGAATTGTAAAGAATAACGAGTATAAAGACATATATGCTCCTACAATTAATAAGAGTAATATAATTAAGAAAAAAAATAAGGGCTTAGCTCAATGGTTTAGTGGGTAGTATTTGGGGTAAGAGATCAAGGTTTGAACCTTGGTGGCTGCAATGTGAGAATTATGTCCAAAGTGGGTAGATTTTTTGTGCGCACCGGCATTTGGCCCTGTTTACTGACCCATTGATACTAACCCATTGAGTCATCGTGATTTACATGCTCCTTGGTCTCGAATTTAAGAAATTCATTTTTCAATGGAAAATGAATT